AAAAACCTTTATCTTCTACATTTTTGTACATTTTTCCCATATTTTTTCAGTGTGTGACCATTGAGCTGACATGGTCATCCACAGTGACACCAGGGCCTGTGCTTGAGCTCATTCCTAATGTGATATTCAAATCCAGCTCTGAAATACTTCGTTTGCAAGTCAGTTTTTCAACATTGTTGCTAATACAAGGCACCTCTGGGTATTTTAAAGGCAGAAGAGATCAGAAAGTCAATAATTTTAAAATAAGCCTGGCCTATGTAGATCCTGCTGAAAGGCTTTTATTTGAAACTTTTCTATTTACCATTCAAAGAATATAAGTTACAGTATGTGCTGTGGGTGGAATATAATGGTAATAGCGGATGAAATTTGAATTGCAGTTCAAAGGGACAAAGTGTGTAAGACCAAAAGCCTAGGAGATTGCCAAAATTAAATCAACTTATTTGAAGTCAAGCGTTTAAACAGAATTTAAGACTGAAAGTATTTATGGCTTTCTAAATTACGTTTCTAAGCCCAAGTGCAGCATTAAAGGATGTAGACATCACACTGATGAGCATTTGCCATTGTTAATTTTTAGCACTGTCTTTAGTGGTGCACTGCAAAATTCTCAATTAAATTCCTTGACTGTGGAATGGGTGGGGGAAGATACACAGCTCCAAGTGCAAGGAAGTGACCAGGCTTAGCCTTTGGGAAACTTCAGAGAGAGGCATCCAAGTTTAAATCTACATCTTTCTGAGGATTTGCCATCACTTTACTGGGTATTTCATGTGCTTCCTTCTGCATCAGATTTCTGTTATAGATTTTCACTGTCTGCTCAGCTTCCTTTTCAGAAGGGGATGCAAAGAATTGTACTTGTCTAGTGACTACCAATGGCATGTAAAATTTCACTGGAGCAGCAGCTGGAACGCAGGATTCTTTCCAGTCCTCCCTTCCACCCATACAGGGAACTGGGTGTCCTGTAGTACGTGTGGGCTCGAACACACATCTGCTCTGATGGGGAACACAAAATCAGAACAGGTTGTTCCACAGAGGGGAATGAGGAGGTCCTCAGCCTATGTTAATAACCTGGAAAGCGGGAAGAACAGGCTAGGGAAGAGTCTTATAGGAAATGGAAATGAGGTTGATGTTTTGGTGACTTCAGCTAACCACTGTGTTGTGTATAGAAGAGCATGTTTTATATGAAGTCTGTTGTAAAGGAAGGGCTCATATGATGGGAGGGAGAGAAGAGCTAATAGTGAATTTTAGAGCATGTGCAAAAATGTTATTGTGGGGTATTGGATGTAGGACATCTGGGTTGTGCAAATATCAGTGAAAACTGAGGCAGCCCTTTGAAGATGTAAATTTTAGATATGATGCCTTTTATTGTACAGAGATCTTAGAAATTTTCTCAATAGTACTAAAAGTGGTGCACTTGATAAGGCAATGTTGGAACTAGTTTAAAACACCAGAAATACACAAACATTTCACAGTAATAGTGCTCAAAAATGGTTCACTTAATCTTTTTTAAACTTTCCAGCTGGCTTTGGAATAAAATAAGTTTAGCAGGACAGATTTCAACCCAAGTGATTATTTGTGCATGTATGTGAAAACCAGGGAAGTTCACAAGCTTAGTGCTAATCAGTGCTCTGGAGTCAGTCAGCTGTCAAAAAGTTCAACACCTCCTCACTTTATCCTGTTGTCATTACAGTAACTTTCAGCCTGCTAACAGTTCTTCAGGGCCAGAGGAATAGAAGTGTTTCTAACAACCAATTTCTTTAAACCCGTTACTCTAAGTTAAATTACTTGTTTTGACTGGGAGATACCCATATCGTTCACTGGCACATACCTATTAAGGCATAAGTTTCAAGAGTCTAAAAAAAAGATCTATGCAAATAATTCTGTTCACATTATTTCTAGCTAAGATTGTGGGAAGATAAAGTTAACAGTGACAATTCTGCAGCATTAAATGTATTTTAGGAACACAGGAATCTGTATGTATAACTGGATCTGTCATCTCCACAAGCTGGTTGTTTAGTTCTACTCCGTGTGTCACCTTCAAAGGCAGAGACAGCTGCCTCACCTTGTGTGGCTTCTCCCTGGCCAAGGTGAGGTGAGCAGATACTGCCATTGTCACATCAGCCCCACGTGTCACTGGTGTCCCTTTAGGAGTGGCACGCACCCTGTGCAGGCAGCATGCGTGTGCCCTAGGATATCTTTTCTGTGATTAGAATTTATCTTCTAATCCTGGAAAGCTTTACCCATGAAATTAAAAAAAGATGGCACCTACAGTATGTCCAAGCCTGGAGGGCCACCCTGGACTGCTGCTGGAGCTCAGCAAAGTGGGAGATTTAAGCAAGTAAAACTATTGCAGAAATAATTTGAAAGCAGGTGCTACTCAACTGTAGCAGGAGACATCTGCTGATGTATGCACAACATGATTCTATTGCTGTGAATAAGCTAAGAAAAATGTACCTTATGCAGCCTTTTCCTGGAAGTAGGAAGAGTAGAATATTTAAGAGTGGAATAGCTTGTAGGCTCTGTGTAACTTGAAGAATGCATATATAAAGAATGCTTGTAGTTTGGATTGTCCACTTGAATTTAAATGTCAGTAATTGTTAGTTTAAAGATACTATGAATGTGAAAATGCAAAAGATTGTATTAAGCTCAATGTATACAAAGCATAAGTGTGAGCTGGGGTGCTGGCCCACACTTGTATGAAGTGAGCCACTTCATAAAAATAATGTTGAAATGGAAGATAATGCATATAAGTTGCATGCCATTTTGCACTTCTTGTCTGAAAATCATGTGTCTGTCATGTCATTGTGTAAAAATTATAAATTCCTGGGAAATGGGGTCATGTGTTACTGTGTAAACTACCAATGCACAACTGTGGCACTGTACAACCAATAATATGTGTTAGGCTTTTTTAAATGTTGAATTGAAGACAAGACCATAATTTCAGGACAAATTGTAGTGTCTAAACAGTCCTAAGTTTCTTTGAAAGCAACGGAATAAAATTATCAGAATTTCTCATTGACTTTATTAGCTCTACATTCTCTACCCAACAGACACCAAAAAAATAAAGGCAGTTGAGATAATTGATAACTAAATCCTTAAGCTGGCCTGACAGCTAGAGTAAATGTGTTGCCTTGTAGTATATTGAGACCCCTAGATTATGAAATATGTATATCTTAACAATGGTTTTGGCATAAACTCTTGGCTAGTCATTTAAAATAATTACTCTTGGAACAGTTAATAGTCCTGGGAGTCTTGTAACATTCATGTTTTTGTTTTGATCTGAGATTCCCATACTGGATAGAAATATTACACAAATATCTATGTAGATAGATACATTATTTCTTGGATAGAAATAATCAGAGTCCCATAGTTCCTTAGACTATTGGACTGAGCTTTAATTTGGTGTCACAGAGATCTGTGACAGAGATGTGTTACAGAGATGCCAGAGGAGCTGCATTGCTAATCCCCCCGAGCCACCATACACCATGCAAGCAAAACCATAATGCCTGTCTACTTTTGTGAAGTATGCATTTGTAGTGTAATGAATCTGGCACTTTTACTTAAACTGAAGTAAATAATACAACTTCTCAAAACTGTGTGGAAAGATTTAATGGATCTGGTTGTTGAGCAGCTCAGCAGAGGCAATTGTTCAGAAAATGGACTACAACAAAAAATGAAAGCCTAGTGTGGATTTATGTGTATGATAAATAAGACAATAAGGTATAGCACAGTGAGTGAACTTAAGCTATCCTGCTTAGGCTGGTGGTAATTTGTGGTACACTGAACATGCTGAGGTGCCCCCAGCAGCCATTCCAGAAATGTCCTGGCAACACCGTGCGCAGTCCTGGTGCTCTGGTATTGCAGGAGAGAGTGCACAGTTTGGGGGGCTGCAATGAGAATGGAGAGCTCTACAACACCCACAGACCCCCAATATTGCAACTTGACAATATGTGTGATGTTTCTTCCTGGTCCTTAAAGTAAGAACCGCCAAAGCCATCAGGAAAGGAGAGCGATCCTGCCTTTATTGGCCCTTTGCAATCTTGGATGCTTTGGGCAAGCCGTGAAGTTCTGTTCTTGAGCAGCAACTACATCTAATCAAATCTGCTTACTCAATAGCTCTTTCCTTTGGTTTGATTTAATGTTACATGTTACTACCTTTTTCTTGTCAAAAAAGAAGTTTAATTACATCTCCTCTTTTGCAATATTTATAATGCATTAATTAGTGCTATTTCCAACCAGTTACCTGTCCCTGCAGGTAATGGATGTGTGTAAGTATTTGAAATTGCTTGTCACATCTAGTTCTTCATCTTCAAAATGAACAACAGAACCGGGTGTTTTATTTATGATGATGCAAGAGAGTGAAAGACCTGAAGTATAATTTTTGGTTTGCTTTTTGAGTCTTTAGAGCTGGCTCTTCTAAAAATATTTTTTGAAAGTCAAGTAGAAGTGACTTATTGGACAGTAAATTTTGAACTCTTTAGTGCCATTTTTATAATAATAAATAAAGGAGAAGGACTGTAGGCTTAAATTTTCAGAGGAATGTTCAAGTTTATGATGTAGTCATATATATTCAATAATTATTTCCTGCTGTTTGACCAGGTTAGAGTAAGGGAAGACCAGGAAAGGCAGAGTTAATTTTTTGGGGTTGGGTTTGTTGTTTTGTGGTTTTTTTTTTGTTTTTTTTTTGTTAGACTTACTTATCTGTTTCAAAGTTCAAAATATGCTATGCAAGAAAATAAGTAAAATTTAATATCTTAATTTTTAGAAAGTGTAAAGTTTTTAAACAGGTATAATTTAATTTTTTAATGAGAAGCTTAATTTTCGTTGCTTGGAAAACAGCATATACTTCAGAGTAAAAACGTCAGCCTAAATGATTTACCATGAAGCTTTACAAGTAGCTTTTATGGTACCTTCCTTTCACACTGTAATTAAAATTCTTCTTGGTGCTATACGATACCAGGTTTGCTGTTCTTCCCTGTAACAATGTGAAGAGTTGTGCATCTCACCGTTATGCATGAAAATTATTTCCTTCGTTCCGCTGAGGAAAATCGTTGTTTGTACGATTCTACAGATAAAAACCCAAACGGAACCTTAAATGCTTAATCGGAGAAAATAAATCACTTTTAAATCGCAGAACTAGTCCCGGTGTGTATTTTCTAAGGGGCCGGAGGCCGTGGCGTCCTTATCGGCAGCAGCTCCGGAGCTGCCCGTGCCCTTCAGCCCGGGGCTCTCCCGGCCCTTCCTTCTCCTCCCGGGGCTCCGCAGGCTCCCTTTGTCAGCTCTGTGGGTGCGGGGTGCCCGTGAGTTCCCGGGGCCGTGTGAGGCGGCACCGAGCGCAGCCGCGGCTCTGCCCTGCGCCCGCCCCGTTCCCTGAGGGCAGAACCGCCCCGGGCCGGGCCGCGGCGCTGCCATCGCCTGGATCCGCCGCTCGCAGGCTGTGCTGGGGCACTGCTGCCGCTGCAGGGACACGCAGGCGAACAGCAGCAGTTCTGCCTACGGAGCGGGTTGGAGGGACAGTGGCGCACAGGGGGCTGAGGAAAACAGAGAAGGCTCTGGTCTGTCCCGGCCTTTGGCGTAATGGGGCCATGCTCGTAGCGCAGACTGGGAGGTGAAATTGCCAGGTGTTCAAGGGAGAGAAAAGGGAAAAGGGTCAGTGCGGGACAGCTTTCACTCAGTGGTACCTGGTGACACCACGCGCCTTATCGGGCGGGGGACAGCCACGGGCCCGTCACGGGCAGGACGCGTGTGGCCGTGCGATAAGCGCCCAGCGCTGCCGCTGCCCCGGGCTGGAGCACCGAGGGCCCGAGGCACGCACTCGCTCCAGCCTCGGATGGTGACAGACCTACTGTCTTCTCGAGCATCCCGCCTCCGATCCACGTCCTTCTCCTCCGGCCAGACTCAGTGCTTATCGCCTCACCCATTTGTCACCTGCCTGCTTCAGCCCTCGTGTGACCAAGCATCCCCCTAGAGCCCACACTCTCCTGCAGCTCCCGGGCTCCCTGTCGCAGACTAATGCCCACCAGCTCTCAGGAACTTTTCTCAATGTCTGCTCGGTCCCCAACCTCTTTGTCCTTCCTTCATTACAGGTGTTGCTGAAGCCATATTTTATGTTTTGCCTTGGAGTAGGATAGGATAAGCAGGGAAGTCACCGAGAGCTGTGGAGGACAGCCTTTTTGCTTTCAGATCCAGCCATACAGCACTGCAGGTGGAGATAAGGTGATAAGATCCATATCTTCTCTTAATGTGGCCCTTAAAAAAAACCCCAACCCTTGGGAAATTGCAGTTCAGTTTCACCCAATCCCACCTAAGCAGCTTCAGCATTCAAATTTTCAGGGTGTTTGGAAGATTCCTCCTACAATTCACAAAACACACCACCTCAATCAATCTGAAGTCTGCCCTACCACCTAATTTTCAATTCCCTGCTTCAAACTGTAAGACTGTTAGAGATCTGCTACCGTTTCCCATTAAATGTCCAAACTGTGACAGAAGAAACTTCCCATAGTTGCTCAGTGGGGCCACAGAGCATGGTGTTTGTACTAATCTTAGCAGTTGGAAATGTGGTCTTATTAAAGGAATTACCAGGCAACCAGGTGGGGATAGCAGCATTCCTGTGCCAGGTGGAAGTGCAGGATGAGGAGGAGGAAGCATCACCTTGCAGAGCTCTGTCACTTAAGGCTGACACAGCCTTGAATGGAATGGATCCTGCACATGTGCCTTCCAAAACAATCAGCCTTCTCTTGGCTCAAGACTTACCAATGGGGGAATGTGAGAATGTGTAGGTGAGTGCAGGCACGTGAGTGCTGAGGAAGAGGAGCAGAATGAGCCTTGGGAGTGCAAGAAGAGAAATTGGCAGCAGTACCTCATTAACTGCATACTTTGCACAGTGAATGAAGAACAGAATTACAGAGCCACAGGCCCCTTCCCTGTGCTTTCCCATGCAGCAGAACCTTTCTTTTCCCCCTGGGTCAGACTTTTCTGCTGGATGTGAGCGCCCCTGGGCTGCACCTGCTGTGGTGACTCGCTAATACATCTGCTTGGAAGAGATGCCTCGTTCACACATTGAAAGGATAAACTGCTTATCCTGTTTTCTGTAATTCTGTCAGAGAGCAAAAGCTCATCTGACTGGTTTAACTTAAGGGTAAATACAAGGCAATGTGTTTGAAGGAGATAGAAAATGGAGAAGGGACTCTGAATCAGCTGATTTGTATTTAAAGGTTTTATTCTGCTTGCTCTCTCTTTCTAAAAATATTTTTTCTGGTTTGGAGAAATAATATATAAATGATACCCTGGCAAGAAGTGCATAAAATCTGACAGATGAATAAATTGCACTCTCTAGAACTGTAAGCTTGAAAAGAACATTGCAGAGATAATGAATGTTCTTGGCTTGAGAGAAATCCTGTCCATTAGAAATATACCTCTCTGAAGATTGATCTGAACTTTTGAGCTTTCAGTTGAATAATTGCTCTTTGAGATTCGAAAAAAAATTTACTTATTTAATTTTCCATTCACCAGAATTGAATAACACTGCAGTTGGTGATTTAAAATGTTGTTGAATTAATGATGACATTTTGTTAAATTCCCTTTTGTCTTTCCTTTGTCCGTTTTTTATTTCAAAGTCCTCAATAGTAGGCAAAGTGTTTTCACCCCAGTAGAGATGAGAGATGAGTCAGAGATTTGTCAGCTTGAATGGCCTTAGACCTGCACTTATCCCTGCTGACTACCCAGATGCAAGATTGAAGTGATGTTTCTTGCATCTTAAAGAGCAGGACTGAGAAAGCTCAAGCTTCCTTGCTCAGCTTTGTTCTGACCTTCTCTGCCACAGCCTGTCATGGCAAATGGGTCAGATTCACACTCACAGAGCTATAATAAATAATCTGAATCTGGCAGCAAAGGAAAAAGTGAGAAGGGGTGAGTGAGTCTGAAGGGTGGTTTCACTAGTGACTGCATGAGTCTCATGGCTATATTGGGAGGACCAGGTGTGTTATCTGCATCCTCCTTTCCAGCCACCTACCTCACATTACTGGGCCTCAGTCAGGAGATGGGAATGGGCAACTCAAATAACTGCTGCCAGGAAGGACAGTATAAGGCATCAGTACTCTGGCTCAGCTTAAACCATGCCCCTGCCCATGCAGATTTATAGGAAATCTAATATGATGTTACACACGTATGAAAAGAGTAAATGAATCTGTTGTTCCAGCATCTTTCTTCATTCACTGCTCAATTCAACCTTTCAAATCTAAAGCCTCCTTTAATTTTGAAGTAGCAGTTACATAAGTAACAGCATTAGACGTGAAAGTACAGCCCTATTTGCAATCCTGAACACTATTATGGCACAGATTTCTATGACTTAGCGATATGAGAGTGAAATCTGTACACAAACAGCTGCTTTTGAAGCTGGACTAGGCAGCTGCCTGAGTCAAGCCTTTGACAGACAGACTGTGCTGCCAGCCTCTGCCCCTCCCACACACCACGTGAGCTTCAGTGCAGCAAATTTGGTCAAAGCTGCATCAAATATTATTAATGCTTCAGACCACAGGCACTGTCCAGACCACACTGACCCTTTCATATGATCTGCCTCATATCCACACTGCAAACCAAATGTGCTACCCATACTGGAACAACAAAGGCCTGCAGCCATGACTTAGAAAATACATGGTAGGAAAGGAAACCACAGCTGCATTGCTGAGTGGCCTGTCAAAGCCTTTTCAGATGTAGTACATTGGTTTGCAACATTTCAAATTTCAGCTGAAGACAAATTTTTCTGTTGTTTTTCTGTATCATATAGCTGATTTTTGTGTCATCCCTGCAATTTTATTGTTCTGTGGCGTAATTTACAGCAGCTATTTATGGGACTAAAATAACTGTCAGCTTGGAGAAAAGCATTGTTTCTCTTGTATGTAATGGGGGCTGGAAGACTGTTAGAAGGTTCCTGTCCCAAAATGGATCACAGTACATGGATGCCTGTACAGGAAAGGTGGAAAGATGTTTCTTACTCCAGTTTCTTGCTATCTCCTATTCTTGAATACTCCAATTTTAATTTCAGAATTCTCACATCATCAATGCACCTAATATTATACTTGATGAATATTCTTAGTTATGAGAATGATTTCGTATCAATTTCCCTGAGACGCTATTCTTCATTTAAAAGGACAGGCACATAGTTTTTTGCTACTCCCCTTGTTTGCACTTTGGAGCACTGGAGCAAAATTTATTTCTGAGGAATGGGCTTTGCATATTTTTATACATCCTTTTAACACTTGATTAATTTGAAGCATCTTCTGATGAAAGAGCATATCAAGAGGCTAAACAGTAATTACCTCCTACAAATCACCTATCATCGGTAGAATAAGCCACCAGTGTTTAGTGGCAACCCCTTCATGATGAAGCAGAATGCTGGATTTATGAGGTACAATCTGAAGATAGCTGCTACTCAGACAAGACTTCACAAACCTGAAATGCAAGTTTAAAACAAAGTAAATTCATATTTTAGGCTTACAGAAAAAGGTGAAGGCTAGAACAAGCATCTACTGAAAAAAAGTAGTGCATGCTCATCACCTTGAGGCTTGCAGGCAGATTCAAAAAATCTCAGCTCAACAGTAGGTACCCACATAAGGGAAAAAAGAGATCTTCCCTTAGGACTCAGACCTTAGACTAACAATATCCTGCTGCTCTTGAGAGAGGAGTTATCCCTGGAACACTGCATTTGCATTATGTCTGCTAACGTCAAGGCTTAGCACAGGACAAAAACATCATGAATTTAGCAGAAGTACTAATTCAGATAAGTACAGGCTCAGCTGTTGCTAAATTGGCAATTATAACTAGATAGTCTCTGCTCCCCTGCCATCATCATTGTCGGCGCTGAAGTGTTGTCTCAGTTCAGCGAGTATTCTATTTTCTAAGCTCTCATTTGTCTTCTGTTTGACAGCTTACAGTGATTTTGTTGAGCTGTACTGATGAACTGCTGTCAATGGAAAAAACTCCAACCACCAGAGGCATACGAGGATTAGCCAAAATGTACAATTCCTACACAGTTGGAAAATGGGGAGATTAACTATAAAAGGACTGAACCAGAATATGAGATCAGATCATCTTCTCAGATACCGCATGTGTTCAGGATTGCAAATCCATGTCCAACTATCTTTATCTCTGACCTTTTAAAATAACTTTTCAGCACAACTGCAGCTACTGGCAGGAGCAGCAGAAGCCAGAAAAAGAAAACAGTGCTGGCAAGTCCAGCATTTTACCTGCTGGGGACCTAGATCTGCTTTCAGCT